ATATTATTAATCATCTGTAATTCTGCTTTCCCATTCTCAGCCAAGCTGTGTCTTCTCTCTGTCCTTATACGTTCCCCTGATCTGAAGCATTTGTTATTGCCACACACAAGCCTCCACTGATGACTTTCACAGCAGTAAATTGGATAAAAATCTCCGAAAACCCATAGTTAGTGCCGTGATTAAACTTCTTTGTGTTGGCCTGCGGGAGAAGAAAGCAGATGGCAGGAGTCTACACCTTCAATCACAAACACAGCTAAAGAGGGAGGCATGGTCAGCCTAGTAGATGACAGTTTCAGGCCATCACCAGGGAGGTACGGGGGAGGAATAATTGGGCCAGCAGGGTCAAGGATGAAGTGGTGGTTTCAGCCAGCGTCGTGAATAGGACGTATGTACAGTTAAGTGGGAAAAACGGGCTGAAGCACGGCCAAGGGAGAAAGGCCAATGTTAGCTCAGAAGTAAGGCCCAGATGTTTAAACCACGAGTGACAGTAACAATTCATTGTGCACCTTTATGTGGAATACTCACTTCTTTCCTCCTCATCCAGCTTAAGCCCAGCCATAAAGAAATTTCTCCCCAGCTAATCCTCCAGCTGCAAGTTGGCAGCTGGCTAGCTCCTCAATACCCAAGGCACGAGTGAAATTTGACAGAACGTTTCTCCCATTCTCTAGTGCTGAAACTAGAGCTCAGGTGCTGATCAGACCCAAGTAGATAGGACGGCAAGTTGCCTCAGTTACCAAATTTTTTCCTTTTAAATATATCCGTTCTCCCTCTCGTCCCTATGGCCCTATTTGTCCTGACTGTCCTTCTGATGATAACCACAGTTGCCCTTTGCATCAAAAACAGGAGACTTTTCATTGCAAGGGACAGAAATCCAAACTGGACCCACTTAAATCTACTGGTTTACGTATATTACAATACTGTGGGTTTAAGACACTTCAGGCACCACGCTTATATATTCCTGTCTTCAAGTCCTTGATCCCTGACAAACCCAGGACGGCACATACTAAACATTCTTTTTCAAATACTATAAAGATTTATGTTTTTAGAAAATCCAAGATTCTGCTCTATCCATACAAACTATGAGAGTTGCAGGGTCTTAGATAAGGAAATGATTCTCCAACTTGAAAATCGTAACATTGAAATCTTTTCTCACCTCATATGTGATCTCTTCTGTGGACAGCTGCTTTCATCTCACACCAGCCTTGAATTCAGTAACTGTCTAGTTTCCTGCTACAGGAATTCTCTAGAAAGCGTGAGTGAGCAGTGTAAATTTACTAATGATTTTGTAGAGGAGAAGACAGGAGAACTTGCATCAGGTAAAGTATCATATTTCACTACAGATCACATTGAATTTTTCTCCATCTGTCTTGATTATCAGCCTTTGGGTCTCCCTCTGGCCATCTTTCCCCCGTGAAGTCTCAAATAATATCTCCCGAAAGTCTTTCCTATTTTTTTCAAACTTTTTATTTTGGGGGGGATTATATCGGATTAATTTTTTATTGTTTGTAGAATTTTATTTTTATTTATTTATAGTGAAGTATAGCTGATTTACAATATCTTAGTTTCAGGTGTACAGCACAGTGATTCACTTATATATGTATGTGTATATATTATATGTATACATAATATTTATATATTCTTTTTCATACTCTTTTCCCTTATAGGTTATTACAAAATACTGAGTAGAGTTCCCTGTGCTATACAGTAGGTCCTTGTTGGTTATCTGTTTTATATATAGTAGTGTGTCTCTGTTAAGCCCATCCTCCTAATTTACCCCTCTCCCTCCTTCCCCTTTAGTAAGCACAAGTTTGTCTTCTATGTCTGTGGGTCTATTTCTATTTTGTAAACAAGTTCATTTGTATCTTTTTTTTTCAGATTCTAGAGCTCTCTGTCATCCCTCTCAATGCCTCTCCTGTGCCCTCCTTCTTACTGCCTTGGAAACTCCAAAGAGGCTGTCAGAGCATTAACTCCAAAACCGATTCTCCCCCAAGGGGAAACTTTTGGAATGTGGCTAAAAAACTATTTTTTTCTGTTAGTTATATTTATATTGATGTCCTCAAATCAGTCTCCAGATAGTATTTTTTTTTATTTCTTTAGATAAAACTTTCATGTAAATATTTTAATTACTCTCCATGTCTAAAAGAACTTTCAGTTAAGAGGCTGGTATCTGCAGTTTATTGGGCTACGACAGAATCTTTGGGAAGGTTTTCCAAAGAGCAAATCTAAATCATGAGCAAACAGGGAACTCACATAAACAATCTCTTTCTACTTTTATTTCCAGAACAAAAAAACTTGAAGTGGTGGACAGGGGTTTCATGGTTATATTTTATGATGATTATGAAAATAATTAATTGAGTCAAGAGTGGAATATACGTGGTTTGGCATGAAAAATGTAATGTCTCTCCCAGCCAGAAGAGTGATTGAAAAGAGGAAGAATCGCTTTCTCTGTAATTCGAGACTTTTTACTGCAAAAGACAAAACTGAGAAAATTTTTTATATAAATTTACATATATTTTTAATATCAACATTTACCTCAGTCCAATCTGATTAACAGGAGTTAAGGGGAAATGAGCAAAAGGAATTGGATTTGCATAGAATTTAAATTTATAGTTACTGGTTGCTGGCAATGCTATTTTTAGTGACACTTACTTAGCCTTATTCATGCCTATCCACTGCATTCTATGCTTTCTTAAATCCACTATATGTTCAGAATTGCCATAAGAAGGAAAAAATGAAAATCCAAGCAGTATACAACAGCCTGAGAATACATAGCTTCACTCAGAGGGCCATTCAGTGGAATATGGTGGGCTCTTGATTTTTTTCAATTTTATTGAGATATAATTGACATATAACATTGTATAAGTCTATGATATACAACATATGATTTGATATATGTGTATACTGTGAAATGATTACCACCATAAGGTTAGTTAACATCTGTCACTTCATATAGTTACAAACTTTTTTCTTGTGATGAGAACTTTAAGATCAGCTCTCTTAGCAACTTTCAAATACACAATACAGTGTTGTTAACTATAGTCGTCCCACTGTACATTACATCCCAAAACTTACTTATCTTATACCTTTGACCATCTTCATCCAATTTTCCTACCCCCCACCCCCCGAAACCCATAATTTTTTAGGGGAAAGAACTTGTAGGGGAAGTTAGGTAGTGTGTGAAAAAAAATTTCAACATTTTTTGTCTGTATTTACATCATATGTTGAACTTTATCACTTTAATGAGATTGACATTGAAGGAGTAGAAGGTGATGCCATATAATAGGTATCGACCAATCTACTGACCGAAGTTAGCACTCCAGATATTAGCAGGCTCCAGTACTGACTAGGATAAGGAGGCTTGCTAGTGTCCATATGTGTCAGAGGGGAAATAGCACTGTGGTCGTGGCTCAGAGCACCCAGAAGACATGATGCCTTAGCCACAGATGTCCCTGTTCCTTACCGACTACATGGAAAACTTGGCAAGGATGCTTGGATTTGCAATTAAATTTTAGGAAATTAACTTGCTTCCTGATAAATGTTCCTGTAATCAGGAAACATGTTGATTTTCTAAAATTAGCTTTTTTCTTCCTTTGAAGAAAAGAGATTTTGGATGTTGTGGGCTTTTTGGTCTGTCTCCTCCATTCCTTACATCTGTAGTCAAATGAAGTAGACTGTTTGAATTCTTCAATAAATTAATATAAATTCTTTATCTGGTTGTCACAAAAGTGACTATTATTAAGAGATCATCTGGGCTGTTAAGAGACGTCTTTTAGTTATATAATAAAGTCTTGCTTTAACTAGATAGGTGGGGTTTTTAAAAAGTCAAGATTAAAATGCAGAGTGGCATTATTGGAGGTTCTTCGTGGTTTGCTTCCTGATGGACTTATGCATCCAGTTGGCAATAGAGATCTGAAGTCATAATGCAAATCTATCCTGGTCCCAACCGCGGTTTGGCACCATCTGGTGGCACTTATCCACCACAGCTTAAATATGGAGTGGTGGGCATTCCAGGAGAGGCCCAAAGATTTCCAGGAATCTTCTGGTTGTTTGGCTCCTTTTTCACTGGCTCTAACTTGGAGAGACTGGGCTAGGAACATACTGACTATGCAGGGAGCCACTCTTCTTCACCTTATCACCTACTTTGCCAGACAATGTTGCCTGTCATTTCCAAGGTAAGAATTTTTACCTGTTCTTTGAGAAGATAATAGGAACCAAGTATCCATTGCACAATCTTGACGCCATTGTGTGAAAGGATTTTACTTTAATTTAAAGGTATGAAAAATAGCAGAGGACAAGAGCAAAATCCTGAGGCATGGTTCCAGATGATTCTTCCATGTATTCCCAGGTTTGATATAATGGTAAGGGAATGGGCAGACAGCAGGATAAGAAGTGTACTGTGTCCTTGGGCATGGATTCCTCATAGAAGGGGAATGCGTCCCCACTTCTCTTTTGGTGTGAAATAGTTGGGTTAACACCACAACTCAATGCCTGGAAAGACTGAGCAAAGGGTCCCTTGTATTGTTTGAATTGACCCTTATTTTGAACACCTTCTATAGTACCTAACTTTTCTGACTGTTAGAGTTACTGTTTTTTAAAGGCACTATTATACTTTTAATACATAAAATTTTACAGAGAATTTTTTTAATTCCCAATCTCACCACCCCCCAAAAGTGATTCTTTAAAAGAATACATAAATGTGTTTCAAAAATTCAAATAGTGCTAAGAATAATAAGATGAAAATTAATCAGTCTTTTTCTTTTCACCTTCTCCCTCAAATAAACACTGTCAGCTATTACTAAGCTTCTCTTATACTCTTGTAGTTATATACACATGCCTGAACAGTTCTGCATTTTACTTTTTGCACTTAATAATATATTTTGGAAATCTTTCTGTATCAACACAGGTACATACAGATCCACCTCGCTGAAGAAAACTACATAGAGACAATCATTCGCTGCCTTAGCCTAGTTTCCACCCAAGAGCAGAGCCTGAGATAAAGCTTTTTGTACAAGTAGTTTATTGGAAGTGACTCCAGGATCATGAATGAGTGGTAGAGGAAGTATGGTAGCCAACTCCCAAGACCGCCCAATGTTCCCCACCCCTTGGTATTCACACTCCTGTGGAGTCTCCTCCCATATTGCACCAGAGTTGATCTATGTCGCTGACAGCGTACAGCAGACGTGATGATAGGTCCCTTCTAAAGCTAAGTGATAAAACACACTGTAGCTTCCTGCTTGCACTCTCCCTTGTCCTCTCTCTTGGATCACTCGCTCTGGGGAAAGCCAGCTGCCATAAGGTGAGCCGCAGTCCACACTGGGAAAAACTCCTGCTCACAACCACGTGAGTAAGTTCAGAGGTGGATCCTCCAGCCCCAGTCGAGCCTTCTGATGGATACGGCCCTGGCTGACATTTGAACTAAATCCTCATGAGAGATCCTGAGCTGGAAACAGCCAGCTGAAGCGGATTCTGATTTGTTGACTGTGGAAACTGTGAGAACAAAAATTTGTTATTTTAAGTCACTAAGTTTTGAGGTAACTTTTAACACAGCAGTAGATAACTAATACAGGAAGTCAACCAGAGAGGGAGGGAAAGTCAATGTAAGGATATGTTCATTGCTGCTATGGTCAATGGATGCTCCATTCAGCAGGACTTTCTGAGGAGCCTTATGAACTGCATGTCAAGCATTCCATCAGCCCCATCCTTCACTGGTCAAGTGTGCTCCATGGGTGTTGACTCTCCAGCACTTCCAGGATACACATGTGTGAGTGCCAAGTGGGTTCTTACAGGCTTCCCATGCCACATTGTGAGACACATGACGTGGCTCAAAGCAAGACTGGCGGGTTGTGTCTGTGCAAACCTGCTTGAAAACTGCTCGAAACTGCAGGCTTCACAGCTAGAGGAGTGGACAAGATACAACTACACACTTATAACCGTACACATCAAAGATACTCCCCCTCCCTTTTCTTTCTGCAATCTATGCTACATGGCTCATTTTTAACAGAACATTCTTTTTTGGTGTTTTTTTTAAAAAAATACTGAAACTGAATACATTTGCCACACTTCTTCCTTCATGTGAAAAGTCAAGGTTTTATTGTTAATGTGTCTGTGCTTAACTCTATATAAATTTATAAAGTAACTATTTTTCCCTTCAATTTGCAATCCATTAAATTAATAAAGGGTCATGTATTCTAATGGATAGGACTAAAACGAATCAAAAGAATTTCAAGCCTCCACATTGTTAATCCACTTCTCTGAGATCCCTTTGGAGTCTGTGACTAACTAAAGAGAAATTTTGCACTTTGGGTGCCCATTATGAGCTGAGATGAATCACCACTTCCTCTAACACATCAGAAATTGCAGTTCAATTCAACTGTGAGAGATGTTGAAATGTTGATATTTTTCTCTTAGTTTGAATTTTGTATGAACTTTCTTTGATCATATGGCTTCTCAAAACCACCTTTCTATTTTTTGGAGGTCAGTCTTAAACATAGGAAGACATTTACCTGCACCAGGGAAAACAAGGTCCTGCTTCTTCAATGGGGCGCTCTGAGTTTGTGAATCTTTCTCGTCTGAAATTGGATGGAGAGATCTGTTGGCAGAAACAGCCTTTAAAATAAAGGTAACAATGACTCAACTTCTGAAGTAGAGCCAGGTTCTCAGGCTGCAGGGTGCTGGGGTTAGCAGAGAGAGAACTCATTTCAGGAGAGCACAGGAAGCTACTTAATGTTGCTTATGAGTCAGAAGAGAGTTGGATCCGTGATGACTGAACTCTTATGTAGTTACACATATTCGCAGATACCTTAATATGTGTGTGTAAAACATGTATGTGTGTATTTTTATTCATCTGTGTTCTATGTTTTGCTTTGATAGGAACCCCTCATCCCCATCCTTCCTCAGCTTTTTGAAGACCGTAGTAATGAGTCACTGCTGCCTATTGCTTTGAAACTAAGGACTTTCTAGGTCAGAGATTTTTTTTTAACATTCTCCTTAATTCAGTCCCCTCGGTGGGATTTTATATAAGTGTATGTAGTTCAGAGACTTCTTGAATGAGGAAAGAAAAGTTAATCTATATTCACAATACATCTGCTATGTGCTTGGAACTTTATACACTATTTTATTTAGTCCATAAACAGGCATAATACTTCACTCTGAAAAATGTGAAAATGGCAACAGGGGCTTAGTTATGCTAAGAGACTTCTCCAACATAAACTAGGATGTGGCAGGCTGGAAGTGAAGTCAGGGATTTCCTGTTCACATAACCCGTGATCTTCCCACCACAACATACTCTCTCTAATTCTTTGTAATCATGGCCTTTGCCAAGGTTCAGTGCTGTGCCAGGTCACTACTTCTCTGTATAATTGTTTCTTCTGAAAAATGAGATATTTAACGCTGAGAGCCAGTCCAGTTCCAATACTATTTAACTTCATTTTGTTTTCCATCAGGGGCTTTTAGGGTCTGGCCATTCATAACAAAAATGCTGAATAATACACATAAGCCATGCTTGGGACTACTAGATCTGCCATTATTGAGACATTGATTACTGCCCCATTTTTCAGAGACTTGTCCATTTGTTTGGACGTTTAGAAATAGTTTTGCAAACAGAGGAGCCTCCTATAATCTGTGCTCAGCTGGGAATCAATATAGGTTTTCTTTATCTGACTGCGGGCCTTCAGGCCAGATGTCTTGGGAAAATTTTAGGGAATTCTGCTTGATAAACCAATTCTACTAGTGAGAACAGAGCCTTCTCTTTGGGGCCTCTAGCCCCCTCTTTCCATCTTTGGAAGCAAAGAGGAATAGGCAAACAGCTGGAAAAAGCAGGATCTCATCCCAACACTCTTACAGTCATCACTATATCTATATATTGTGCCCTCTTAATTCTAATAGGTGCCCCCCACATGCAGAAGTTAGGTGATATTTCCGGCAGTTTCAAGATAAGTTATTTTGTTGGAGATGATCTTTGAAGTAGTACTAAAAGGTAATATTTCCAGGGGTCATTACTACTTTAATAGGACTTTAATAATCCTACTTTTTTTCCTGGAAGAGAAAGAACCCATCTTCCCATCTTACAAGAGGCACTGGGGTGTCTTCTGGCCAATTGTTGGTATGAAGAGCTGTCTTGAAAAAGAATTCTGATCAACTCCATCCCTTTTGCTCTATTAGCCAATCCACATGTTTTTAAAGATACATTTTGAAAATCAAAGCAATAGAACATGTTATCACTGCCAATTTCTGTTTGATAAGCCAGTGAAGAAAGTTAAAAGAGCAAATGACAATGAAGTGAAAACTAATATAGATTAACTGAATGCAAAGATTATTTCTTAAGGTTCTGTACATGATACTCTTAGCCTTGTTTGGCTTGAACAAGATAAATTAAGTATCAGGCTTTGCATATATCTTTGCTTTGCAGTTACATTTCTCTCCTTGAAATTAGAAGCCAAAATTCTGTGTTCAGCTTATGAGGGTAATCTGGCTGAAACCATACTGGAATCAAAGATAACTTTTTGCTAAATAGAATCAGTTAGATTCTAACAACAAAAAACTCTTCTTTCTAAGTAAAATCGAGACAATTCTTGAGACAACAGTAATTAACTCTCTCATAACTGGAGTTTTAAGATCTTAATTTGGTCAAATAAAGGAGGAATTGAATAGGTTCACTTTATTAAAATTAGCTCCCAAATAATTCTGTGATACAGACAAGAGAGCCACAAAATAAAAAATAAACAATCACTACTAGTAACAACTACTACTATTTTTACTACTAATAGTTACAATTTATTATGCCCGACCATGTATCAGACACCATGTGTAATGAAGCACTGTTTCTCAGCAGTGCTGTGTCTTTTTTTTTCTACTCTTTGTGTTCTAATTTGTGCTTCTGGAGGTATTTACAAATTAGCCTGATGTTTTTTTCGATAGTGGCACATAACTGGTGATTAACATTTTGCAATATTAAACAATTCATAGTCATGTGTGAAATTCAATTACTGATGTCTTACATCGGCAACTAGCTGAATATTGAACTCTACAATTGTGTTCTTTTAATATTAGGAAATTTAATTTTATTTTCAAACAACCAAATAAAAAGTTCAGCCTGATTTAAATACTTTTGATTCGAATGTTGGATATCACTACTTTTACTTTGCCTTTGAATTCTCATAGTTATGAATATTTAGAAGACAACTTGAAATATTTATGAAAATGATTTTTATTTTTTTCATTTTTTGCATTTACTGTAATTTATATTTGTATAAAATACATTAACATTTTGTACATTTTGAATATGATTATATTTATTTTAAAATCTTTTAGATCCCATAAGTAGAACACAAATTATGAGGAAGTGTTGATGACAACACAGCTAGTAACCTTACAGAATTAAAGGCCAAAAAATTTGGAATTAATATAAAATTATTTATGATTTATATGTGCTTTTATTTATATATACTCATCCAAATATTGTCAAAGCAACACTCCTACATGAGCAATCATGATTAAATTCATATGTCTTTGACATTTTGCCACTAAACTATACTTTGATGAATATTTTAAAACTTTGGTTGTCATGAGGCATATTTGTCAGGGTAGACATATAGAACTCATTTTATTTGTTTGTTCTGTTATTTGTAACTTCTAAATATTTAGGGCTCTATTGAATTGACCTTCATTTGTATTCTTGCCCAGGGCCCTACAAATGTTAAGGGTGGGCTTGGGGAGAGGCACTTCCACTCCTGTAACATTCTCCAGGTCCCTGCCCTTAGTGCTGGACTTAGAGATCCCCTAATCAGACCCCTGTATTTTACAGATGGAGGAACCCTGATGGTTGGCTTCAAGCCTAAGCCAAACCATCACGTTGTCTGCATAGACCAGGAAATGGAGGCCCCTGAAACAGGCAGAGTGGCATGTTCCTTGCGCTCAGCTGGAGGACTGCCAGGTCCTCTCTTGCAAACAGTTCACTCATCTTAGACTGAAAGCATGGGCCGCGATAGCCAATTGTATGAGGTTAGCTTATTCCTCAGGCTCGCAGGCAGCTCACATGGGCAGAAGGCCCCTAACCAGGAGCCCTCTCCAATTGCCGACCCTCTCTCTCTAACTTATATATCTTTTAACAAAGCATTGTGTTGAGGCCACCCCTAGGAATAGTGCAGTATCCTAGGGCTAGAAGCAGCTAAAATGGTATCACTGAGAAGGTGGTGACCAGAGTCTAGGAGAGAGATGAGTGTGAAGATGGCTGCCTGAGAGTGGCCTTTAATGGATGGACACGTTCAAAGTGACCTCAGAAGGAAGGAACGGGGAGAAAAATTCCATATCTTCCACCTATTTTCCTCCATTTCTGGCCAGGGCTCCCCATTGGTCAAACCTAGCTGGAGGTGAGAAGGCACAGAAACCCTGAAGATGTAATACTTACCAGTCAAGACAGAGCATATGAAAAGGGGTGGAGATGCATTTGCAGGGGCAAATGGGTGAGATTTGGTACAGCAAGTGAGTCTTTTTATCATATATTTTGGATCTTTTGATTGTCTTGCTAAGCAGAATAAGTAGTGGCTGGAGGGACCAGAGCACTTTAATACCTGAGCAAACAGGGCCCCTGCGCAGGTTGGAGTGACTTCCTCCACAATATCTGAGACCCTTCCAGTGCTTGGGACCAGCTGGGACCAGCAGAGCCACCCAGGAAGTGTGCTCTGAGAGCAGATCGAGACCTGTGTGGGCCTGGTCTTTGTTTCTTTCCATCAGGGCACTTTTTGATGTTCTATTCCACACACAAACGGGCATCAGAAGCTCGGAGTAGCTCTGGGACTTGTGCTGTGGGATTGTCGCTAGTGATCCTCGCCAGACCCCAGTTCCAGGGTGGGGGCCGGACAAGTGGCTCACTCTGCTGACTAGTGTAGTTCTTTTACGGGATCACGTGAAATTGGGCCACCAGCATGGTGGTGACAGACTGACTTGATGTGACTCTCACTCAGGTTAGACACAGGATGAGTTCAGGACTCTGTTTTACTGCTGACCCTTGGCTCAAGCAGCATGTGTGGCCTCTCAATTGTCAAGGTTCCAATCAGGGTGCCACCTTCATCGCTAGAACTCATGAGTGGTGGGCATGGCAGAAGGCATCCTTTGGCTTGTGTATCCCCCACCTCTGGTACCCAGAGCAGTCTCCCACCCCCTCTGAAGGCTCCATGCCATATATTGGTCAGTGCCCCAGACCAGGCCACACCTGTCTGGCTGATAGACTTCAAGACCAATGCACTACAAGCCAATGGGTCCATGTCCGCTCTTATCTCTGGAACTGTGATGTGCTCTCAGGTCTGTCTGAGACTATGCCAGGTAAGGGTGACAATCCTTGCACAATGGGACCACTCTTCTCATTTCAATCACTGGCCTCTTGCCTGTCCTTCTCACTGGCGACACTGTGTGGAAGGCAAGGGTACAGGTGACACTGAAAGAGAGAACATTCTAAGAATACATTAAGGACTAAAGAGTTCAAGAGAAGATATGGTTGGAAAACGTTTTGCTCTATATTTAAGCTATAAAGCTCTGGATGGTAAATTTAACATCATCGTGAATAAATTATTGTTCTAATTTTCCTGCATAGACGGGGTAAGACTTACATTTGTGGGCTTCTCCAACAAAGCACAGAAACACTTTCTAAGTCACTGGAAGCCAACATTCACGGGCAGCACAATAGATAGCACAGTATTTAAAGTAATGATATAACCAGCATTAAATAAATGGTATTGAACAACTGCAGAGGCAAGAAGAGCTTTTGTTTCCCACATATAAAGAACCAGCATTACAACAGCACTGCTACCATTTGCTTGTGGTAAGAGATATGAAATTGTCCAGAAACTTTGTCAATAAAAAACAGGAAAAGATGATTCCCAGATCTGAACAGAAAGAAACGGTGCCTGGATACCACAAAGCATCGTTATTGAACCGATTAAACAATAAGAAATTACATAAGTACTTCTTCTCTCCCGTTTATTCTAAATCTTCATCAATAAAATACTATTCCTCCCACCGACCCATGACTTTTATAATGCATTTTAGTCTAGATGTGGATATAGACAAAGGATCCAAAAAAAATTATTTGCCTAGAAGGAGCTCTGTGGAGGACCCTAAGGAGCTTTCTCCCTTAGTGACCGGGAACAGGGGGCAAGGTTAATACTGATTACAAAGGGAGTAGATATAATGTTGATGTAATGAGATCACTGACCCAAAAGACTGAAAGCTGGGTTCAAGTCTGGGCTCTACTTCTTACTAGCTGTGTGGCCTTTTTTTTTTTTTTTTTAAATAAATTTATTTATTTTTGGCTGTGTTGGGGCTTCGTTGCTTTGTGCGGGCTTTCTCTAGTTGCGGTGAGCGGGGGTTACTCTTCATTGTGGTGCACGGGCTTCTCATTGCGGGGACTTCTCTTGTTGCGGAGCATGGGCTCTAGGCACGCAGGTTCAGTAGTTGTGGCTTGCGGGCTCTAGTTCAGGCTCAGTAATTGTGGCGCGTGGGCTTAGTTGCTCAGCGGCATGTGGGATCTTCCCGGGCCGGGGCTCGAACCCGTGTCCCTTGCATTGGCAGGCAGATTCTTAACTACTGTGCCACCAGGGGAGCCCTGTGTGGCCTTACTTTTTTCTCTTTTTTTTTGCAGTATGCGGGCCTCTCACTTTTGTGGCCTCTCCCGTTGCGGAGCACGGGCTCCAGACGCGCAGGCTCAGCGGCCATGGCTCACGGGCCCAGCCGCTCCGCGGCATGTGGGATCTTCCCGGACCGGGGCACGAACCCATGTCCCCTGCATCGGCAGGCAGACCCTCAACCACTGCGCCACCAGGGAAGCCCTGTGTGGCCTTTCAAAGTGAACTTGACATCACAAATTCTCAGCTTATTCATATATAAAACTGTAGTAATAATATGTGCCCTCCTTACCAAATAGGTTTAGTTTACTGACAACAGAAATTCATGTTTAAGAACAAACTTTGTAAACTTTACAGTGATTTGAAATAGGTATTTTGAAATAGCAAATTTTGTATAAAAACAACGAAAATTCTTTTCTCTTTAAAGTAATTCAACACTCTGTATGAACATTCTGTTTATTTTATTCTAATTAGTGAAAAAATAGTCTCTCTAAGGTCACCTTTTCCTTTCAGTGGTTCAAAGCAGCATTCATTAGGCCTCTTTATGTAATGGAACAGTCAAAATTGCATTAAAATTATTAAAAAGCCATTTCCCATCAAAGGCTATTTGATTTGGGCTTTCCAAACCACTGACAATTTCACTGTTGTGTGTTTTCAGCAGAACTATGCATTTAAAGCTTATATATAAGCTGAAATTCTCCCCCAGGATATCAAGAACACCACAACTTTCCTTTGGTGTCATTTGTGTTATGATTTTAATTATTTCTTGACATTTCAGAAGTGAAAGCTTTGGCCTCCACTCTCTATGACTTCAAAAGATGGATCCCATTAGATCAATAAGTGGGCCAAGGGACCGAGGGGGTAATTTATACTGCCATTGCCATTCAATTTTCTTTTAGCCTGGGGTCTCTTTTAAGCAGGAGAACACAAAGATGAAGTGCTGCTGTCTAAGCAGAAAGCCAAGTGGAGAAAAGACTGGGCTCTATTTTCATTATTTGGCTGAGAAAAATAAACCTCTCTTTGTCTTTCTATGTCTCTAATTTATTACAGTTCTTCATTGCAAAGTATTTCCAAAGATTAAAGTCCACAGTCCATTTGTCATTGTAGAGTTAGTGTCTTAGCCCTTGTCTCCTTGCAACAAGTTTACCTGGTTTAGACCTCATGTCAAAAGTCGTGAACACACAGCCATGAACTCTGGAAGGGAAGTCAAGGGGTATTGATTTTGGGGATCCTAACCAACTTACCCCTAAGT